TTTAACGTTGACGGTAAGTCATTTACCCTACGATTCTCTAAAATATTAATGCCGTTATTCAATCTGAGTTATGAAAATCAGATATGTCATAAATATAGTGAACCCATCACTGAGCAGCATCTCAGCACCCATAATACAGAATAATCCACATAATTGTGAATCAGTGATATTCTGCTCTTCATACGATTCATATCTACATGTACCCATTAGTTATCCATCTTTAAGATGCATAGTGATTACTTTACTATTATGACCTAAGGTTCAGCCATTTTTAGCGTGACACATCTAAACCATAGGAGAAATTGTTCAGAGCCCTGCGTGATGCGTGACACTATCAATATTTGTTCAAGGATCCATCTGGTTCAATGGGCTCAGTGGATCACCTTGGCACACCTTAATTGGTTAGAGGATGTTGGGTAGATTTTCTGGGGCTACTGTGTATATAGTTCTAAAAGCTGAGAGGTATTTTCCGTGCCTTGTGTATCCAGCTTCTCTATGAAGATGTCTATGGAATTTGAACTTACTTACTTGAGCAGGCAAGGGATGGCTGAGATCCTTCAAAGAAGAGTAAAGGGAAGACATATTTTATAGCGGCAGCTTTTGGCAAAACATTGAGGATTTTTGCGATTTTTTTAGTGATTTTAAGTTACTTCAAAATAATTGTTCAACCCCTCGTGTGATGCGTGACAATGTCCTAAATTTGTTCAGTTCAAAGGGTACCGTGAGGCATAACGCGAACCCTTGGTCATAATAGTACAGTATACGAGACTCATGATTGACCCTCTCTGAGTCCTCCCGTCATATAAAAAACTAGACTTATCGATTGTCCTCTTGACGGCTGGAGTTCTCGATCGTCACAAGAATAGAGCCCCCAAAGTTGTTTTGATTCAGTCTTCAGATCTTCAGACTTCAAGCTTTCATGGTAAAATTGATCCAAAAATGAAATTGAGTGGTCCATACAGGGATCAAACCTGTGACCTTTGCATTATTAATACCATAGTCTAACCAACTGAGCTAATAGACCATTAATGAAGCGGTGACCTTTCCCTCCTAAGTCATACTCCCAACCGAGTGTTTTGATTTATTAAAGTATTAAAGTATTTAAGCTTTAATAACCGTGCTCCTATAATGACATAGCTTGGTTAACATTCTGCATTCCGTCGTATAAGAGACATACCGAAGAAGCTGAAGAGGCACGAGTTGGCGTATAGTGTATGATTCGACAATGGTCAGGATGTATGCGGGAGAAGACGGCCAGGAGGTCGGGTATGTTGAGAGCGGTATTGTGGCGAGAACGAAGGGTCCGATCGAACTTGGCATTTGAGCCCGAGCGCATTGGAAACGGCTGTTATAACTGCAAAGAACGAGATAGCTTCTCGTTATGGCCGCCAAGCTCGTTAAACATAGCATTAAAGGGTGCATAGTGCAGAGGATAGAGTGCCGAAGCTGTAGAGAAAGGTCGCAGGAGGTAGCATCGGCTGAATGTAAGGGAGAAATTATGGAG